GGACTCCCGGTGTGATTGAGGGTAAGAGACATGCTATTGACGAGACGGAGCAGGTGGTCAGCAAGAGGTTGAGAGTGCCGTCACAGTATGTTGTTTCCTCCTTCACGGCTGAGGCCAAGAGGATGACGTTCATCGATGGGACGTACCCGAACTTATTCAGAGAAGTGGACAATGCCAAGTGAAAAGCGTTCGAGATAGAGTGGAGGAGAATTATCCCCGAGTAAGTATTGTATGGTTTTAATAAATCACTGTACGCTAACTCGTCTATGCTTATTTTAACATTTCCCTATTTTTTACAGAGTTAGCCGCTTGATAGGTCAAAGGACGGTCTCAGACCCTAACAAGTGGTTCCACGATATCACCACTGCCGGAGCTTGGCTCGCTGACGATGTAAGTGAACTATTCATTTCGTGTATTTTATGTATATGTGACCTTGTGTTTGTTAAATGAATAACTCATACTTTTTTGGTGTTTTCTGCTGCAGCACATCAACCTGGCCATGGACTTGCTGCGAGATCGAGCTCAAAGACATCCAAAATCATTTGATGTCCATGGTTAAGTCATATTAAACACCGAGTTCCTGCGTGCCGTTACCATAGAGTATCAGTCACTCGAACATATGGGTAACGAGTACACGGTGCCAGAATATATGCTCGAGTGGGTGATAGGACTGTCACCGAGTGTTGGGGAAAAATCATGGGAGGGTTATACACATATGTACATTCCAGCGTGCATCAATAAACACTATGTTATGCTGGAGATCGTTTTTGCTGACTCGACTATATATGTATACGACCCAGATCATTCATATTTGACACAAGGCCAGTTGGAGCGAAACCTGGAGTCCGTGGCTGTAATTGTTCCTATGATGGCCAGACGAGCGGGGATAAATGTACAGGACAGATTGCGGATCGTTCGGAACACGACGACAGCGCGACAGTCCGTAAAGTAAGTGTTTGAACTTTGTTGTTTTCATCTTTCAGATTTAGTTTTTATTTACATAGTACTAAACTGATTCATTCTTGTTCAATTGCAGCGGCGACTGCGGCATATTTGCCATTAAGTACGTTGAATTTTTAAGTATAGGACATAAGGTTGATGGAATCAACCAATCATGGATACAGAACTGGAGAAAGAAATTAGCATGTGATTTGTTCGAATTTAATGCTGACCCGTAAATTTCATTATATATATGTAACATTTCAATTGTAAATTTAATTATTTTTGTAATTATGAAATAATTGTAAATTTGTGTTCAATGTATATAACATTCAAATTGGAAATTTAATTATTTTTGTAATTATGAAATAATTGTAAATTTGTGTTCAATGTATATAACATTCAAATTGAAAATTTAATTTTTTTTTGTTATTTTACATGTATGTCGAGTATGGAACTATTTTTTCATATGAATCATTATAAATACCATTTATCAAAAATAAATATTGAATATGGAAGATTCATAAATAACAAATATTGAACAGTGTAAATTAAAATGGAATATTATTCATTTCACGTACCTGTCTAGTCGTCATTTAGGGAAATTTGACTGGTACAAAATTGTCGAGTATGCCCTACGGCTCTGCACCGGCCACACCTACGCGGTCGAGGAAACTCTCTGGTAGATGGTATTCTAGATGTACTTGGACGTCCAGGACAACGCGGTTCAAATGCTGGTGGTAACAAATTATGAAATGGGAGAATGTGCTCGGGAACTTCCTATTCGGTTTCATTCGACAGAGGAAATATAGTCTCGTCATATGCCGTTCTCCAAGACTCAGTCATATAATACAAAGAGCATAACGTTCTCGCAGCAAAGCCTCGATACATGGCCACCGCAACTGCATGCTCACATGAAAAACTTTCCAACTGAAATCTCGTACAAGTGCATGTATTATCAGTCAAGTCCACCATTTATGCCGTATTACGTGCATATTGCACGGAGAAGCGAAACTCATCTAGTGCTTTCACATTCAACTTCCTCGCAACCTCTGCCGCCTTAAACAGTTTCTCCTCTTGAGTTGGGGCCAACACGCTAGTGCAACTCTGTGATGCCGCACGTCGGTCATGAAACCACTGTTGTAGTTTGTTACGAATGTTCTCAATCATTGCGAGAATTGGTAACTCTCGATCCTTCTTAAACAATGCATTGAGAGACTCCGCGTTATTCGACGTCATCATGTTGTATCGACGTCCTGGAAAGTATGATCACGCCCAATGTTCGATTCTCATCTTCATCAGATACTCCAACGCCGGTAATGATTTACTTCCTATTTCGAGCATGAACTTATTACACTTTTCAGCACTGTAAGCTTCGGCTGCTCTCCTGAAGAATGAAACGATGCCTGTACCCCGATACCTAGTCTTCAAATTACCTTGTATATGGTACATGCAATACCCGTGATGTGCCCCGGGAAAAACTTCAGCGATACCGTTTATTTTAGACTGTCCCCGATCAGTTACAAAGGCAAGGTCTTCGACTTCCCCGATCACTTCCCTCAGTTTAGAAAAGAACCAAGGCATGGACAGATCATTCTCGCTGTCGACTATGCCGAATGCAATATGGTAAATTTGGATGTTGGCATCTTGATATGTAGCAATAATTAATTTGCCTTGATATTTAGCTTTCAGAGTTGTACCATCAACTAGAATTAAGGGTCAATTGCATTTCGAAAACCCCAAATACATTGTCCAAGAGCCATGAAGAAATACTTAAAACAATTATAGCCCCCCGTTTCAATAAAAAATGTCGTGCCAGGATTAGTTGTCCCCATGTTATGACAATACCTAGCCAATTTAGCATAGCTCTCTTCAGCCGATCCCATTAAATCCTCCAACGCACATTCTTTGGCCTTCCACGCTTTCTGGTAGCTCATGACCACTCCGTACTCTCGACGGAAGTAGTTAATGATGTCCGAAGGTCTGTAGATCGTCCGTGGATCCTGATACTTGTGCATTATCTGTCGACCAATAAACCATGCTCGAGTTTGCCTGTGATCGTTTCAAAGAATTCCCACTTCGAGAGTATGTTCCCGTGAATACTTGCGAATTACGAAGTACTCATTCGTGTCCATCTTAGTTGCTCTCAAGCGCCAATTGCAACTGTCTTCGACACAAGCAACTGTCAACAATGACTTGTTTGATTTTTTTACCTTGAACTCAAAGTTATATTTTAATGACAGCCGGTGCACAGCTTCCTGCAAATCTTTCTTGGTTTCAAACAGTTGCTCGACCTGCAAGTCCTCATCATCGGGAGCCACACAGGAAGAATTGGAGGACGGTCCACTTGTTCCAACCTGTGAGCTCCCCCCGGCTCGTGTCTCTGTCGGGATAAAGCAATCAAATTCTCATTTGTAAACTCATTTATATTCTCATTGTCTTCAACCGTCGACGAAATTTTGCGCGTAATAGCGACATCATGATCAGAAGCAACCGTCTCAGGAATACCCACATCATCCGCAGGAACTATCTCCACTGTCTCCCAAAAACCTCGATCATTGTTATCCGCCCTATCTGAATTTTCGCGTTCACCTTCGATAACATCCTTCGTAATTAAAGTCACACCAAGAATAGTTGGGGTCCGATGCATTTTATTCAATTCTAATAGATAATTCAATTCAGCATCATTAGTAACGAATACCGGTGGCATCGGAATGGATGAATCCCCATAACCGTTGAATAGATATCTCAATTGCATATCGTATTGAGATTGATCGACATTCAGCTTATTTTGCAAATCGTGGTACATTTCTAAGTATGGTGTACTCTCTGTTATGGGAATTGCAATACAACCACGTATGTCACTCGTCCATCTCCATTCCCACCGATTATTTTCATTCAATTCGAAATCACCAAAATAACACACGAGAATTATCATATCTGCATGAGGAAATGGTTTTAATCAACTTCATTTATTAATTATAAGAAAAAGGCCAACAAAAATCAGTGCAAAGTCGGGTAATTGGCTGTTTAACAGCTGAACAGTCGGACTGTTTCCGACTGTTTAGCTGTTTTTGTGCAGGAGAATACGGTTCTAAAGTTATACATCTGTTCAATTTTTTTTGATAGGTAAGATCTGTTAAAAAAAATTTATGCTAACTACTATGTCGATATAAAATTTCTCTATTCAAACGTATACTAATTTACTGAAAACGAAATTAAACATGCGTAAATGTACTTACCGATTTAAAGTAATTTATATGAAAAAAATTTCCGGCTTCAACATTTCAAAGTTTTTCTAGATTTTGAGGTTCAAGCAGATGAAAAGATGAGAGTTTTTCTGTGTTGGAAGCTCGTTTTGAAGTTTTTATAAGTAGGGAAGTGTTTGGTTTTCAATTATTAACTAAAAGGGTAGTATAGTCCTTTCAACAATAAATTGTTTTGTAATTGTACAAAACATTTAAGGGCATCTTTGTCTTTTACCATATAAGAGGCCAATGTCATAATATTTATGATTTTGAAAGTCAAAGTGGAATTTAGGTCCTTTAATTGGGTCAAACTTAGAAGTACCCCAATTTAAGAGGGGTTCAGCCCACTTCCAAAACTATAAGCTCACATAGAATTATAGAATCAAATATGGAAACTAAATTTCCTGTGTTCGAGTCATGCTTTGTGTTATCATGCATCTTTTTTAATATTTGGTCGGCTCATGGTCACCAATCTCAACATTTGATTGTATTTAAAAATCGGATAATCTATCGAATTATCTATTTCTCAATTGATATACTCAAAAGCATCTCAGAATAATCTTCTCTCGGATTGAAATGTACCATCTCTATTCTGACTTGTAACCCGTATTTGTTGCCTCCTAGTGCCTCGATGGTCAATCTAATGAAAGCAGAATGAGAATGTGCTTCTTAATTTTTACCGTACAACTCCTACCGTCCATGTCATCCTTGATTGGACTCATAACTGAGTCCTTTCCTTTTGATTTGGATGGGACGCTTATATTCAATTTGCTAGACACATCAAGCTCGAACAACTGCTTAAATCGATTTGAGGGGCACTTCCTACACTAGTTCTTCCATTGCAAACTCGAGCTTCCGGCTAAGATAACTTTGTGGACTTATCACCACGTCCTCACCTTCTTCTTATGAAATGACCCTCGTGGCGAATGAATATGGAAATTTAGAGAGGACTGCTTCAGCTGAAGTAGTTGGGGTACACACAGCTACATATTTAAATAGAGAATGTGGCATTGCCCCTATAAATATTTGGGTAGGTTTTCCAATATTCTATTGAGGTTTAGGCAAAAAAATGGAGAGAGGAAAAGAAGATTACATAGCTCACTGTCTAATCTTGCCGTATCCAAGCCAAGGTCATGTAAATCCTATGCTCCAATTCGCCAAACGATTAAGCCATAAAGGCGTCAAAATCACTTTAGTCGTAACAAAATTCTTGCACAAAACTATGCAAGAATTTTCAAGCTTCCCGATTTCCCTGGAAACGATCTCTGATGGATTTGACGAAGGAGGGAGGGCTCAGGCTGAGAGTTTAGCAGCATACCGGAATCAGTTTCGACTTGTTGGAACAGAAACTTTATCCGAACTTGTGGAGAAGCACAAAACAGATTATGCTGTAGATTGTATAATTTATGATCCATTTCTGTCATGGGTTCTTGATGTCACCAAGAAATTTGGATTAGTTTCTGCTGCACTATTCACTCAATCTTGTTCTGTGGACAATATTTATTATCATGTATACAAGAAGGAGTTGAAACTTCCTCTTCTAGAGACTCAAAAAATTATGATTCCTGGATTACCACCACTGGAATCTTCAGATATGCCTTCTTTTATTTCTGTTCATGGGTCACATCCTGAATCTTTTGAAATGTTATTGGATCAGTTTCAGAATTTGGAGAAAGCAAACTGGATTCTTGTGAACACTTTTCACAAGTTGGAAGAAGAGGTGCGTTTCATTGCCGTTTCGTCTAGTGACACATTTATTTATTCGAATTTTGTACCTAACTGCTTCAATCGTTTTATGCTAGGTGATTAATTCGATGACAAGGTTTTTTCCAGTGAAGGCAATCGGCCCGACGATACCTTCCATGTATATAGACCAGAGGCTGAAGGATGACAAAGAATATGGTTTTAGCATCTTCAAGCCTATCAGTGATGTGTGCATAAAATGGCTAACTGAACGAGCAAGCAGATCGGTTGTTTATGTATCCTTCGGAAGTTTGGCTCAGTTAGAAGCCGAGCAAATGGAAGAATTGGCGCAAGGCTTAAAAACGTGCAATGAGTACTTCTTGTGGGTAGTTAGGTCATCCGAAGAATCTAAGCTTCCCGAAAACCTTTCAGAGGAGACGTCAAAGAAAGGACTAATTGTGTCGTGGTGCCCACAATTAGAAGTATTGGCACACAAGGCCACAGGATGCTTCATCACACATTGTGGTTGGAATTCGACTTTGGAGGCGTTGAGTTTGGGAGTTCCATTGGTGGCAATGCCTCAGTGGACTGACCAAAGCACGAACTCGAAATTTATTAAGGATGTTTGGAAAATTGGAATCGAGGCTAAGATAGACGAGAGAGGAATAGTCGAACGAGCAGAAATCGTTCGTTGCATAAATCACGTCATGGAGGGAGAGGAAGGGGAAGAGATCAGAACAAATGCCAAAAAATGGAAAGAAATTGCAAGAGAGGCAATCGATGAGGGAGGGAGTTCTGACAAAAACATCGAAGAATTTATATCTTCACTTATGAGCAATACTTCCACACAGTAATGTGATTGATTCACTCTTTAGTTCTATGCAAGAAATGTCTTACTTTACTACGTAGATCGTCTTTTCTTTAAATAATAAGTGTCTTATCTACTCATTGTTATTTATTCTCATTTCTAGTCTTATAAATCCAGTATAACCACATGTCCATCATTTTCTATACATTCACGTTTATCTTCAATATAATTGCTTGACTTAACCCCAACAGTCTGCGCCTTGATTCAAATTTTCCAAATTACACCCATCATTGCACCCTTTGCAGGTAGATGCCACAATTCTACTTGGGGTAGACAAAATCAAATTCAATGATCCATCAAATTTGACTTTGCAATTTGGCTTCTCAGTACTATGGTCTGCATTTTTTTCTTATCATTAGCCAAAAAATTCGCCTTTGTTTGAAAATCACCTTCTATGTGACTCGATCATCATGGCTCCGCATTCATATAACTCGATCATCACAGTTCCACCACATTGTCACTTAATCAATGTGGCTTGATCACTGCAACTCTACCTTTGTGTAACTTGATCACCATCATAGCTCCAACTTGGTGCTAGTTCCTCACCATCAGGGCAGTAGCTAGGGGGGACAAAAAAATAAATAAATAAATAACTTTAAAAAAAATCATAAAAAAATATGATTTACCTTTGAAAAAATAAGTGGGCTTGAGGTTGCATTGGGTTAAAGTCCAGGGCTAACCCCTCTCTCCACCCCTACTTTGAATGCAACAATTTGTTCACTCTCACGTGGGCGGCTGACGTTCTTTCAAAGAACCTAATTGCTTCAATTCCATATTTGCATACGCATCCCTTATCTTCAATATAATTATTTGAGTAAACTCCAACAAAATAAGCTAGCTCTTAAGAATTTAATGTAGACCTTCTTAGATCTATTCTTATCATTGACCATACAATCCAATACAATTCTTCTCTTAGGCCCTGTTTGATGCTTCAATTCCATATTTGCATACGCATCCCTTATCTTCAATATAATTATTTGAGTAAACTCCAACAAAATAAGCTAGCTCTTAAGAATTTAATGTAGACCTTCTTAGATCTATTCTTATCATTGACCATACAATCCAATACAATTCTTCTCTTAGGCCCTGTTTGGCACTCATTTTTATCAAAATGCATTTTTCTCTCTCTTCTTTTCAACCACACATTCTTTATTAAAATAATATTACACGTAAATCAAAAAAATTTTCTTATTTTTCAACCACACATTTCCCATCAATTTACTATTCAAAAATGTATTTTCACATAAAAATTCCTACCAAACACCCTCTTAGTCTTACTTTAAAAAAAAGAGTAAGCAAAAAAATAAATACTTGACACTCGAATGGACATATCCGTGATTTAGAGCAAACAAATTTAACGCGTAGAAATAAATTATTATAAAATTGACAAGCTTGTTTCGGACATTAATTACAGTATGCAATTTGACTTAATTAGAATGAGAGTCACTTTGGTGGTAACATTTGAAACGACTACTTGATAAGGTTGTGGGGCGTATGGTTGGAAGTTTCGCAATCAATAAGAAACAAAGTTTGACACGGATGTGTTAAAAATAAAATGTTTGTGTTGGGAATTGATGCTTATGCGTTCTAGCTGTGAGCACACAGCTCGGATGACAGCCCCCCTCATATATGGGGGGTCCACAAATTTTTTATTGAATGCCCCCCACATGTGGGGGGCTGTATATATACAGTCCAACTCAGTTCTTATGTATTTTTGCAAATATGCGTAATGAAAAAAGAAGGAAAGTTTTTGTATTTACGTGTAATATTATTATATTGAAAAATATGTGGCTAAAAGATGAAAGAGAAAAATACATTTTAAATAAAATGGAGCCAAATAGGGGGTAAGTTAAACATCTCTAACAAAGCTTGAACCGTGAGTTTATAAATACTTGGACAATCTCTCCTTATAAGTCGATTCAACAATATTTGATGCTAGAGCAAAACCCTTCTGCGACGACCCTCCGCGCACAAGATGACTTTGAGGAGAGGATAAAATCTTGTAATTGGGAAGGAAAAACACAACGCTAACACGTTTACATACAGAAATGTCACAGGATTTGTCTTTAAATACTTGCACAGGCATCCCATAGAAATGATAAGGGAAAAATGGAGAAAGGAAAAGAAAATCACATAGCTCACTGTTTAATCTTGCCATATCCAAGTCAGGGACACATAAATCCTATGCTCCAATTCGCTAAACGCTTGAGGCATAAACAAGTCAAAATCACTTTAGTCGTAACAAAATTCTTGCGCAAAACCGTGCAAGAATTTCCAGGTTCCTCAGATATTTCCCTTGAAACAATCTCTGATGGATTTGATGAAGGGGGGAGGGCTAAGGTTGAGAGTTCAGAAGCATACCTGACTCGGTTTCGTCTGGTCGGAACAGAAACTTTATCAGAACTTGTGGAAAAGCACAAAACAGATTGTGCTGTAGATTGTATAATATATGATCCATTTCTTTCATGGGGTCTTGATGTAGCCAAGAAATTTGGATTAGTTTCTGCTGCATTTTTCACTCAATCTTGTGCTGTGGACAATATATATTATCATGTGTGTAAAAAGGAGTTGAAACTTCCTCTCTCAGAGACTGAAAAAATTGTGATTCCTGGATTACCAGTACTGGAACCTTCAGATTTGCCTTCTTTTGTTTATGTTCATGGATCATACCCTGCAGCTTTTGAAATGATTCTGAATCAGTTTCAGAATCTGGAGAAAGCAGACTGGATTCTTGTTAATACTTTTCACAAGTTGGAAGAAGAGGTATATATCCAATCATTTCATTTGTAGATTTCAATTTGTAGTCGACATTATTAAACATAATACCTCATCAAAGGTTTCCAACTGCAGCATGCCTCTTGAACATAATCCAACTCTAATTTTGTAACTGTCTACTTCAATGCTTTTATGCTAGGTGATTAATTGGATGGCGAAGTTTTTACCAGTGAAGGCAATCGGCCCAACCGTACCTTCAATGTATTTAGACAAGAGGCTTCAAGATGACAAAGAGTATGGTCTTAGTATCTTCAAGCCTATCACTGATGTCTGCATGAAATGGCTTAATGAACGAGCAAGTAGATCGGTTGTTTATGTTTCGTTTGGAAGTTTGGCTGAATTAGGAGCCGAGCAAATGGAAGAATTGGCACAGGGCTTAAAATTAAGCAATGAGTACTTCTTGTGGGTGGTTAGATCATCAGAAGAAGCTAAGCTTCCCAATAAATTTTCAGAGACGTCCAAGAAAGGACTAATCGTGTCATGGTGTCCACAGTTGGAAGTTTTTGCACACAAGGCGATCGGGTGCTTCATCACACATTGTGGTTGGAATTCCACATTGGAGGCATTAAGTTTGGGAGTTCCTATGGTGGGAATGCCTCAATGGACTGACCAAAGCACAAACGCAAAGTTTGTTAAGAATGTTTGGAAAGTGGGAGTCAAGGCTAGGCAAAACGAGAAAGGTATAGTCGAGCAAACAGAGATTATCAGTTGCATAAAGAATATCATGGAGGGAGACAGCGCGGAAGAGATCAGGAAAAATGCGAAAAAATGGAAGGAATTTGCGAGAGAGGCAGTTGATGAGGGAGGGAGTTCAGATAAACACATTGAAAATTTTGTTTCTTCACTGATTAATCCTCCCACAAAAATAATTTGATAGACCATAGCAGCACTCCCATTTCATTTTGGTTGTGTAGTACTTAGCACTATGATGAACAAGATTTTAGTTTATTTTCCTTCTTTAATACAGTCGACTAGTTTCCAGTCCTCTTTACAAACGAGGTCATGGATAAGTTAAACACGGTAGCATGTTTGGTATGTAGAAACTTTGTGGTTCCCATATGTTGTTGAATTTATTGGACACAAATTCTTGTTCAGGACACTAGTAAAATATGATAATGATAATTGTCGAAGAGATCTGAAGGACATCCATTGTTTACAAGACCCTCGATTTTTGGTTATTCTGTTTATATAGAAACTAAAACTTGCATAGAACACTGTTAGGATTTAATTGTATTGGCAATTTTTTAGACCAAAGGACAAATATAAAAAGTTATAAAAGTCAAGGAGTCAATTGGGATGTTGTATAGATGAATTAGGAATCTTAGCATTCGAGTTGGAACGAGGAGGAAAGATTTGTCGGATTTACCCTCACCTATTGCCTTTTCGATGCTCGAGCAGAAAAAATAGAAACATTATGCCCAGCTCTCGCTCGACCGACACACCGGTTGCTCGCTTGTCGCTAGCTTGGCGCTCAAGCGATGGTGTTACGCGTAAAACAAATAATTCGTGTTTTTCAAGAATTTTACCCTACCCATGCTACTTAAATATTTTCTACTATATATATCCAAGCCATAACACGTTTTGTTTGTAGTTGTTCATTATATTACTTCCTCATAATATCATTCCAAGATCTAACAACACGTTCTAGCATTGAGATTAATCCTTTGATTCTTGAGATCATTCAACGACAACTTTGGGAAAACATCAAATTCACATAATCCAAAGCACCAACTTCCTATACACATACGGAAAGTACTTTCTCAATAACTTTCAAAGGTTGTCGAAGATTGAGGGAGGTTGGACCAGAAGAACAAGAAGAGTACAAAAAAGTTGTTCTTGATGATCCACAGGAAATTGGAAATTTCAGAAGATTAAGAACAGGGGTGAGTACAACACGTTCCAGCAGACTTGAAGATTGTAGAAATTAGATTAGCGAGTCTAATGGATTTTCTAAGTTGGATCATATTGTAAGTTCACATTATTTACTGGCTTGATTTCAAAGTTTTTACCCAGTTGGATTTTCTCTATCAACATATTTTATGTTGTTTATTGCTTTCATGTTATTGATTGTGGTATTCAAACCATATGATAATCTGACACGACTGATTAACCATCTAGAAACAATTAAAAAGTGATTTGTTGCTTTTAATTGTATAATTCCACATGTTTGTCAAAATAAATTGATTAAATATAAACTTTCAAGTCGAATCAAAGCCTTTCAAGCACTAAGACTTAATATTAAATTAGCCTTTCGATGGAGAAAGGAAAAGAATAATGCAAAGCATTCGTTGCTTAATCGTGCCATTTCCGATCCAAGTTCACATAAATCCTATGCTCTAATTCGTAAAGCATTTGAGGCATAAAGGAACATTTGTTCTAGGCTACGCATGAATATTCTAGTTTTATTTCTGTCCAAACAATTTCTGAATTCGATGGGGGAGGGACTGTTGCGGCAGAGAGCTCAGAAGCATATTTGGATCATTTTCGTCAAGCTGGGACAGAAACTGTGGAAGAACTTATCGAAAGGCTTTAAAGCTCTAGCTGCCCCTACGATACATTTCTTCCATGGCATCTTGATTTAGCTAAGAAATTGGGATTGGTTGGTGCTGCTTTTTTCACACAATCTATTGGGAATGGTTGTTAATCAGTTCCAGAAAATATTGAAAAAAGCGGACTGGCTACTTGCCAACATCTTCCACAAAAATGGAGGAAGATGTTAAATTAATTGAACATCATTTTCAAGAATTTGTTTCAAGGAAAAATCTCCCTGTCCGTCCAGGGCCACAATGGCGCCCCTGTCCGTCCAAGGCCCATATGGCCCTAGACATATGGCAGGTCCGTTGTTTCAATATGCATACGCCTCTATTTTCTAACATTGTTTCCCAAACATACAAAAAGAAGTTGGGACCCACACACGAGGACTTAAATGAAATAAACAAGATTATCTTTCTTTTTCTTTTTTTCCAATTACTGTCCAATATACAAACTCGTTTTTAGTGATGGAGTATTTATAAATGAAAAGAAATGATAAAAAAGACGTTGGATACTTTGCACCAAAATGGTACAAAGTATAGTATTACATTAGAGTTATTTTGCACCAAAAAATGATGGATTTTTATTTTTTGGGAGATGCATCGAAGATGGCCTTATTGCAAACACACCTACCTCCTGGAAAAGAAAAGCACGTGATAGAGGGGCCTTAAACTACCAAATGGTTCAAATCCAAGAGTTCTGTTGTCAAGAACCCAACTATAGACTATAGAGCTTGTTTGACTAAGCAAAAAATTAAGGGTTATTTTGCTTGTACAGCTTGCTTACAGTCCCCTCACGTGACGGAGATATTCGTGATGGGACTGTCCACTCAAAAATTGATATTTAAGTTACTATAAATTATTTTCTTCCCAAAACAGCTTTGGCTTCTCTAAAATTTTGAAAAGTAGTGTTCGTACTTAGTGTATAATACTGACCCCGACATTTAATACATTATCTGAAGGGACACGAGGAAATCTCAATTTCAATTGCACCACATATTTTCTGTGTATTCTGTCTATATAAAGAACACTATAACTCTGGAGTAAATTAGGGTCAGAATGGAGAAAGGAGAAGAAGAATGCAAAGCTCATTGCTACACTCATTTTTATCAAAATGCATTTTTCTCTCTCTTCTTTTCAACCACACATTCTTTATTAAAATAATATTATACGTAAATCAAAAAAAATTTCTTATTTTTCAACCACACATTTCCCATCAATTTACTATTCAAAAATGCATTTTCACATAAAAATTCCTACCAAACACCCTCTTAGTCTTACTTTAAAAAAAAGAGTAAGCAAAAAAATAAATACTTGACACTCGAATGGACATATCCGTGATTTAGAGCAAACAAATTTAACGCGTAGAAATAAATTATTATAAAATTGACAAGCTTGTTTCGGACATTAATTACAGTATGCAATTTGACTTAATTAGAATGAGAGTCACTTTGGTGGTAACATTTGAAACGACTACTTGATAAGGTTGTGGGGCGTATGGTTGGAAGTTTCGCAATCAATAAGAAACAAAGTTTGACACGGATGTGTTAAAAATAAAATGTTTGTGTTGGGAATTGATGCTTATGCGTTCTAGCTGTGAGCACACAGCTCGGATGACAGCCCCCCTCATATATGGGGGGTCCACAAATTTTTTATTGAATGCCCCCCACATGTGGGGGGCTGTATATATACAGTCCAACTCAGTTCTTATGTATTTTTGCAAATATGCGTAATGAAAAAAGAAGGAAAGTTTTTGTATTTACGTGTAATATTATTATATTGAAAAATATGTGGCTAAAAGATGAAAGAGAAAAATACATTTTAAATAAAATGGAGCCAAATAGGGGGTAAGTTAAACATCTCTAACAAAGCTTGAACCGTGAGTTTATAAATACTTGGACAATCTCTCCTTATAAGTCGATTCAACAATATTTGATGCTAGAGCAAAACCCTTCTGCGACGACCCTCCGCGCACAAGATGACTTTGAGGAGAGGATAAAATCTTGTAATTGGGAAGGAAAAACACAACGCTAACACGTTTACATACAGAAATGTCACAGGATTTGTCTTTAAATACTTGCACAGGCATCCCATAGAAATGATAAGGGAAAAATGGAGAAAGGAAAAGAAAATCACATAGCTCACTGTTTAATCTTGCCATATCCAAGTCAGGGACACATAAATCCTATGCTCCAATTCGCTAAACGCTTGAGGCATAAACAAGTCAAAATCACTTTAGTCGTAACAAAATTCTTGCGCAAAACCGTGCAAGAATTTCCAGGTTCCTCAGATATTTCCCTTGAAACAATCTCTGATGGATTTGATGAAGGGGGGAGGGCTAAGGTTGAGAGTTCAGAAGCATACCTGACTCGGTTTCGTCTGGTCGGAACAGAAACTTTATCAGAACTTGTGGAAAAGCACAAAACAGATTGTGCTGTAGATTGTATAATATATGATCCATTTCTTTCATGGGGTCTTGATGTAGCCAAGAAATTTGGATTAGTTTCTGCTGCATTTTTCACTCAATCTTGTGCTGTGGACAATATATATTATCATGTGTGTAAAAAGGAGTTGAAACTTCCTCTCTCAGAGACTGAAAAAATTGTGATTCCTGGATTACCAGTACTGGAACCTTCAGATTTGCCTTCTTTTGTTTATGTTCATGGATCATACCCTGCAGCTTTTGAAATGATTCTGAATCAGTTTCAGAATCTGGAGAAAGCAGACTGGATTCTTGTTAATACTTTTCACAAGTTGGAAGAAGAGGTATATATCCAATCATTTCATTTGTAGATTTCAATTTGTAGTCGACATTATTAAACATAATACCTCATCAAAGGTTTCCAACTGCAGCATGCCTCTTGAACATAATCCAACTCTAATTTTGTAACTGTCTACTTCAATGCTTTTATGCTAGGTGATTAATTGGATGGCGAAGTTTTTACCAGTGAAGGCAATCGGCCCAACCGTACCTTCAATGTATTTAGACAAGAGGCTTCAAGATGACAAAGAGTATGGTCTTAGTATCTTCAAGCCTATCACTGATGTCTGCATGAAATGGCTTAATGAACGAGCAAGTAGATCGGTTGTTTATGTTTCGTTTGGAAGTTTGGCTGAATTAGGAGCCGAGCAAATGGAAGAATTGGCACAGGGCTTAAAATTAAGCAATGAGTACTTCTTGTGGGTGGTTAGATCATCAGAAGAAGCTAAGCTTCCCAATAAATTTTCAGAGACGTCCAAGAAAGGACTAATCGTGTCATGGTGTCCACAGTTGGAAGTTTTTGCACACAAGGCGATCGGGTGCTTCATCACACATTGTGGTTGGAATTCCACATTGGAGGCATTAAGTTTGGGAGTTCCTATGGTGGGAATGCCTCAATGGACTGACCAAAGCACAAACGCAAAGTTTGTTAAGAATGTTTGGAAAGTGGGAGTCAAGGCTAGGCAAAACATGAAAGGTATAGTCGAGCAAACAGAGATTATCAGTTGCATAAAGAATATCATGGAGGGAGACAGCGCGGAAGAGATCAGGAAAAATGCGAAAAAATGGAAGGAATTTGCGAGAGAGGCAGTTGATGAGGGAGGGAGTTCAGATAAACACATTGAAAATTTTGTTTCTTCACTGATTAATCCTCCCACAAAAATAATTTGATAGACCATAGCAGCACTTCCATTTCATTTTGGTTGTGTAGTACTTAGCACTATGATGAACAAGATTTTAGTTTATTTTTCTTCTTTAATACAGTCGACTAGTTTCCAGTCCTCTTTACAAACGAGGTCATGGATAAGTTAAACACGGTAGCATGTTTGGTATGTAGAAACTTTGTGGTTCCCATATGTTGTTGAATTTATTGGACACAAATTCTTGTTCAGGACACTAGTAAAATATGATAATGATAATTGTCGAAGAGATCTGAAGGACATCCATTGTTTTCAAGACCCTCCATTTTTGGGTATTCTGTCTATATAGAAACTAAAACTTGCATAGAACACTGTTAGGATTTAATTGTATTGGCAATTTTTTATACCAAAGGACAAATATAAAAAGTTACAAAAGTCAAGGAGTCAATTGGGATGTTGTATAGATAAATTAGGAATCTTAGCGTTCGAGTTGGAACGAGGAGGAAAGAGTCGTCGGATTTACCCTCACCTATTGCCTTTTCGATGCTCGAGCAGAAAAAATA